TATATATATATATATATATATATATATATATATATATATATATATATATAATAAATTTTGTTATTGGCGTGTCATGTTTTATTACGCCAACAAACATTTTTTTTTTACAAATAAAATATATTTCAAGCCACAAAAATGTATAATTCATTCGCACAGTTTTTCATATACGTGAATAAATTATTTTATTGTTTTGCAATAGTTTCAATTTTTATTCTGCACTGTTTAATATTTTAGCATTTCCACCGTTCGTTTCTCATCATTCAATAAATTTATATCTTTTTTCTTTTTTGAAGATTATATGTGGGCGTATACATATGATTGTGTGTGCATATATATATATATATATATATATATAAGTAATTATACTCGTCTGGAAAAAGCTTAGGTGTTTTGTCTTGTAAATGAACAAACCAATACTCAAGGAAAAATAAGGGATAAAAAAGAAAGAACTAAGAACATGTAATTCAGGCGAAAACAATCGTCCAGAATCCAAGCTCAGAGTCCAAAGAAAAACACCTCCAAACCGAGTAAAACAAAAGTAACTAAGTACTCAATACACTAAGTAGAACAACTCTAACTATGAACCTAAAAAGCCAGATAAACCTACCTAGGTTTCGCCTACCCGGATCGTCAGTGTACCCTAACGATCCGCGTAGGTGAAACCTAGGTAGGTTTACCTGGCTCTTTAGGTTCATAGTTATATATATATATATATATATATATATATATATATATATATATATATATATATATATATACAAAGAATAATCACACATAGAATTAATCAGAAGTATCAATGCGATTATTGGCGACATCCATCGCTAGAAAACATAATATATGCATTAAAATCCTGTTCATCCATAGTGCGAGTTTGGATCCTTGAAGAAAAACTTGTTGTCTGTAGTTTTTCAGTTTATTTGATGTTAAAATGCTAGTACTTACGGACAGTCTTCCATCCATCATCAGGCATGTGTTTTTTTCGTTTTTTTTTTTCTCCTTATAAAATCAAAAACTTGAGACGATATACCTGTATGTCGACCGAAAGATGTTTTTTGAATATCTGCTATTATTGACGGTTGTAAGATATCGGAACGTGCAAAGACGCAACGCTAAGTTTTTCAAAATTTTTAAGTGAGAATTTTATTTAAATATTTCTTGTGATGTGTTAAATCCACGTATTCTATTTTTACAAGTGTATTCAGTTTTTATGTCATGAACTAAGTATATAGTTCAATAATATAGTGTAATGTCATAGTAACTAACTAGAGACAACAAGTTTTTCTTCAAGGATCAAAACTCGCACTATGGATGAACAGGATTTTAATGCATATATTATGTTTTCTAGCGATAGATGTCGCCAATAATCGCATTGATACTTCTGATTAATTCTCTGTGTGATTATTCTTTGTATGTAAATCATATGCTGCCTAATGTTTTATATATATATATATATATATATATATATATATATATATATATATATTCGTTAAATATGGCAGACAAGGAAGGAACTTTAATTTAATTCCAGCAATCTTCTATTAATTAAATCTTCTTTTCTCCAGAAATCGTTTAAGAGTTTTTAATTAATAGAACTTAAGATTGCTGGGAGAAACCTCAAACAAAATATTAATTTTTTTTAAATTTTTTCATTGTCTTGCATATATCGATATTTTTATATATATATATATATATATATATATATATATATATATGAAGATATATATATATATATATGCAAGAAAATGTTATTCCGTGAACAAAATTTCCATCCGTTAACATTTTTTCTAGAAACTATAAATATAATACCCTCATCCACATGCAAAAAAAAAGGATAAAATAATGAGTCCCGTTCCAGCATTATTAATAATATAGGAAGAGCCAAATAGGGTAAAACCCAGTCAAATAACATCAATCGAACACGGCCAAATGGGACAGACAAAGAAGATTTAATTAATGACCGTGTTTTGAGAAAAATGAAAACATTCCTATAATTCGAGATATATATATATAATATATATGAATTATATATATTAAAAATCTCCATCCGTAACATTTTGTAGAAACTATAAATATAATACCCTCATCCACATGCAAAAAAAAAGATAAAAGTCATCATTAATATAGTGACTAAAACAACATACCGTGTTTTGAAAAGAGCTTAAAAGTCTAAAAAATGAATTCAGTTAAAAAATAAGATAAAAGTCATCATTCATAGTGACTAAAACAAATAGTTTTAAAAAGTCTGAATACGTTTTGTCGTTTTATTATTACTCCCCAAATACGCACTTTACACACACACACACACACACACACACACACACACATATATATATATATATATATATATAGGAGATGTCAAGTTAGCTGAGTTTATACATACATACATGCACACACACACACACACACACACACACACACACATATATATATATATATATATATATATATATATATAAGAAGTGTGTGTATATGGATATAGATGGATATGTGTATGTGTGGATATGTGGATATATTTATATATGTGTGTACATGGGTATATATATGTGTGTATGTGGGTACACGCCTATGTGTATGTATATACGTGTATATGTTATTGTGTATGTGTATATTCGCATGTGTGTTTGAACATAGAAATATAGGTCTTTGCTAGATTAGATAATCGTTATATTATATTTATTTTTTATATGTTTATATTTGATTTGTAACCTGTAGTTGATATTAAATTTGTCAAATTTTCTCAATTACACAGCGGCCCTTTAAGTAAACGCAATTTTACTTTCCTTCGTCCCATCTCTCTCCCCCACCTTGTCTTTCCCTCCCACTTATTCTAACATTAAATTGTCTATGGTGTGTGTATGTCACCACGAAATGTATCTTTATGCATTAGACATCCGACAACAGTCATTTTTCTCTTACTTAAATCCCTTCCACTCACCTCCCCTAAAATTTTCTCTGTTAAGGTTTAATCTCCATCCTTCTCTAGTATGTTACCCCTCATACTTACACTCTCTCTCTAAATTCTGTTTTTATTTCCGGAGTTGTTTTTTTCTGTTTTCTTTTTGAATTTGTAAGTCTGATGAATTGGATCGTATTTACGATTCCAATGGAATAAATTATGACCATGGAATATTAGTGTTTAAGCCTTTTTATTATATCCTTACTCTGTCCTGGACATTGAGTTCTATCTGGATTCTATCCTCTTGAAATTTTTATTCAAAAAATATACATGTATGGGTATTTATATATTTTGCATATGTATGTATATTTACCACTAGTATATATATATATATATATATATATATATATATATATATATATATATATATATATATATAAAATTATAACATAAATATGTTATAAAATCAATACAAAAATAGCCATTTTGTTTCAGCACATCTGGTGTCTTATCAATGATGATGTTGAATATATATATATATATATATATATATATATATATATATCAACCGGCCTGACTATTGCGTCTAGCATGAGTGTTAACTTCAATGTTTACTTTTATATGCATATTTACATACGCTCTGTCTCTGATAATGAGCACTTTATCCTATAAATATAAATGTAGCACACCTTAAAACTATTTATTTATATATATATATATATATATATATATATATATATATATATATATATATATATATATATAATAGTCGGACTGACGGTAGCATCTAGCATGAAACAGCCTGTCGCCTCTGAGTGTTGACATCAATGTTCATTTTATATTTATATTTACATACGCTCTATCTGTTATAGTGAACACCTTATCCCATTAATATTGCACTTTAAAACATATATATATATATAATTTTATCTATCTATCTATCTATCTATATATATATATATATATATATATATAAGTAAAAATAGAAGGCTTGACGATTGCATCTTGCATGAAACAGACTGTCGCCTCTAAAAGGTGACTTCTCTGTTCACTTTTATATTCACACATTATCTCTGATATTGAGCACTTTATCCCATAAATATAGCACATCTTAAGACTATGTTTTTTCATATATATATATATATATATATATATATATATATATATATATATATATATATATATATATATATATATGGAATGTAATGAGAAAGAAAATATATAACTTCTGACGTTCACTGTATTAATTCAAAAGTGGGTTCAATACCGATAGTAGAGCAAAATTAATTATTATAATTTTTTTCATATAGGCAAAAACAATTTACTCATTACAAACTGAGTTTCGATGCATTTTAAATGCACTTCGTCTGGTTAGATTTGGTTCTCGCCAGTCGAAGTGCAATTAAATGCACTGTAACGAAGTTGCATCTTTGTAGTGAGTAATCGTTTTCGTCTATATGAAACAATTATAATATATATATATATATATATATATATTAGAAATAGGAGCGTAGTCTAGAACTATAGTATGGTCGTCGCAAGTTTGTCAATCTAGAGAATATATCCGATCTAATATCTATCACCATTTGCGTATCCCATTTAATCTTGAGCCCAGGCATTTCAATGCAGCAAATTTATGCGTTGCCTTCCTTGGTCAGAATATATATTCCAATACGTCAATTAGTCAGAAGAATTGCTCCCTGTAGTTTTGCACAGTAAAGATTTAGTCGCATTCCTGTGATTTGCAATAAAGATATCCTTTCGAATCCCACAGGGCTCAGAGAACCTTTCAGCCGTTATGATTAGGACGATTTTGGCGGGGGTCTGCAGCTAAGCGTAATTTCTATCATTTTTAGATTCTCACAATAAATGTATTTTTCATCGCCTGTTACTACCTTCGGTTAAAAAAATGTCATTTTTCTCTGTTGAACGGGAAGTTAAAAACGAGTCTTTAAACGCTGTTCCGGCGTTAGCCAATTTCTGGCTTCAGATTTCTCCTAAGGTTTACTGAACATCGTTGATTGATTACAGAAGCCATAAATGACTGTGTAAACATCAATGACATTCTCAGATTTCACTTTGTGTGAGGCCTGGCCGATACATTTTAAACGGCCCAGATAGATAGATAGATAGATAGATAGATAGATAGATAGATAAGGAAGAAAATAAGACAAATATGAGATTTAGCTAGATGAATAGAACTGACTGTGGTTGATCGATAGAAAGAAAGAACGAAAGAACGAAAGAAAGAAAGGCTAGATAGATAGATAGATAGATAGATAGATAGATAGGGAAAGGGGAAGGCAAATATGAGATAGATAGATAGATAGATAGATAGATAGGGAAGAAAATATGAGATAGATAGATAGATAGATAGATAGATAGGGAAAGGGGAATGCAAATATGTGATAGATAGATAGATAGATAGATAGATAGATAGATAAGGAAAGGGAAGGCAAATAGGAGATAGATAGATAGATAGATAGATAGATAGATAGATAAGGAAGAAAATATGACAAATATGAGATTTAGCTAGATGAATAGAACTGACTGTGGTTGATCGATAGAAAGAAAGAACAAAAGAAAGAAAGGATAGATAGATAGATAGATAGATAGATAGATAGATAGAGATAGATAGGGGTAGGCAAATAGGAAATAGATAGATAGATAGATAGATAGATAGATAGATAGATAGATAGATAGATAGGGAAGACAAATATGAGATAGATAGATAGATAGATAGATAGATAGATAGGGAAAGGGGAAGGCAAATATGAGATAGATAGATAGATAGATAGATAGATAGATAGATAGATAGATAGATAGGGAACGGCTAGGACAGATATGAGATATAGATAGACAGATTGATGAGGGGGGGACATATATTTTACTTAATTGCATTATTGTTTCCTATTAGATATAATTATTGTTCTGTTAAATACATTAAATATATAATTAATATATAATTAAAAACAAATTTATCAATTCATTCATTAAAAACAAAACAATATAAATAGCATACACAGAGAAAATGATAAAATTGCATTGAACAAAAAAAAATCACATTTTTGACGGAGCGCTCGGACACGATAAGATTCCAAGATTTGGTGATTTGTGTTCACTTTGACGAACTTCTCCCCAATGACGAACGTTAAAATTACTTAGTGTTGTGGTAGGATCCACCTAATTTTCATAGTGGAGTACCGACCATATAAATATGGTTGGTACCGGGAAGAGAGGGAGGAATCAAGAGATTCAACCAGAGACTGCCCGACTGCGACTCAGTCAACACATTCTCCAGGAACGGTCTTACCAGGAATATACAAAAGACTATATGTAAATATTGTGTACACTTTCTTGTTTCAATACATTTTGTTCTAAGTACATTTTGTGTTGCATTATTATTCCATGCATTAGTCAAGTTTCAACACTTAGAATCGGTCTCATTCTTAGGATCTTATCCATAATTTGTATTTGATCACCAATGCACTCAACGCAGACGCACACACACATATATATATATATATATATATATATATATATATATATATATATATATATATATATATATATGTGTGTGTGCGTGTGAAATATCTTACATTGAATACTAGTGCTAATAAAATATTGATCGATATAACAGTGCTATAAATTACATATTGATAATAAATTTACATTTTTCCTCATTTTATATTGAAAATAATCTTTAGGTGCTGACTGAAAACTGAAGATTGCGTTGCGCATGAATCAGGAGTTGTCTTACCAGTTAAGATAAATGTATATTTATTATTTGTATATATATATATATATATATATATATATATATATATATAGTAATCTGTTGGTATAAAATAGGCGAGTCCTATAAACACAACATAGAAACTATTTTAAAACTGATTCACAAAAGAGCGCTCAATGTTTATTTACATTAAACAGAGCAAATTTTCCTTACAGTTGGAATTAAGATATCTTTAGTTAATGATCATTTTCACTTATGAATTTTAATTTTAAAATTCGCAGTATTTTTCACACTGTTTATGGTATCGGTTTGTAGTGGGATACTGGCTACTTGGGGAAAAATAGAGGGGAGGCGTTATAGGGGACTTAGTGGGAGATATGGAGAGGCACCGTTGCAGGTATTATATTATGGAGGTATGAGAGCCTGGATAGGGGAGGGGAGGGTGAAACCAATGAGCTGACCTACATCCTAATGGTCATACTACCAATGTTAATTTGACTGGTATCAACAGAAATTAACGAAAATGTGAAAAACTATCAAGAGGTAACTTTAGTAAAATGAAAGAGAGATAATTCAGAATTAGTGGTATTAAACTCGTTCATATATCAAAGTTCAAAGTTCAAATGGCGGGAGTGCTTTCAAAGTGATGGTATTTAGAAATTCAAAATTGAAGTGCCAGACTACGAATAATCCCAAGTTGAAAAATGGTCATTAACTAAAGGCATCTTCAATTCCAATATATCCTATATGTGCGATATCTTTTATATATATATATATATATATATATATATATATATATATATATGTGTGTGTGTGTGTGTGTGTGAAAAGTATATAGAAAATAGGAAATAACTCGTTAGGTAAATAATCCAAAATTTTTTAGTATTTTTGTTATTATTTTTAAAAATAGTGCACGATAAAAAATAGAAATATAATATAATTATTTATTTAAAAATATGATTTCAACACGCTATATAAGAGTTCTCATGTTCTTTTTTTGAAACATGAGAACTCTTATGTAGCGTGTTGAATCATATTTTAAATAAATAATTATATATATATATATATATATATATATATATATATATATATATATATGGAGAGAAACATGAAATGCATATATAAAGCTTCTTTGAAAAGTGTATGTGGTATTTATGGATGTTCTTGTATTCCAGAAGTAGTTTGTTAGTGTGTTGCAATATAATAAGGTCTGAGATTTTTTTTTTATCACTAATTTGATCATCACACCGGACTGAATTCAGTGAGTCTAAATAAAAAAAAAAAAATTTGCAAGAGATGTCAGCTTTCAAGACCGTGATTTGCGATGGGTTCGTGACGTCCGAATCAATGCTGACTCCTGACGTATATAAAACATTATCACCTCGTTTCCTGGTAAGCAGACATCGAGGTAAAATCATTGAATCATTCTTTACAGCTTCAATATATATATATATATATACAAAATGGAGCGTGCGATGGGTAAATTGTCGTTGTTTCTGATTTTGTCGACTGGTCAGTGTAGCAGGATCAGTGGGGCACTTCACGTGAGAAAAAGACCACCATGTAGCAATTCACTCCAACAGAAATTTCGAAACGGCATGCTGTACTTCTTGGCATTCACACCAGTAGCTCCAATACGAATATGTTACAGTGTTTGGGTGTCAATTTTAGGACAGTTCAGATGATTTCGAATGGGTTTTTTTTTTCGGATTTTCTCATCCTGTTTGTAGTTAGCATGATGAGAAAATCATAAAAATAACTCATTCGTTCTAATATATCTCCCATGAATCCTAGTAACATAATAAAATTTGTCATAAATTACACATAGTTTAAGTCTTAATTCTTGCAACTCTGATGATGATCTGAACACACACACACACACACACACACACACACACACACACACATATATATATATATATATATATACAACACCATGAATTGATAAGACGCCAGAAGTGTTGAAACAAAATGTTTATTTTTGTACTGATTTTATAACATAATTATGTTATCATTTTAGAATAAATTATATTTGATCTACTCTGTATTGAGCACTCTTTTAAGAATAGTATTTCTTCGTTATATGAATTTATTCGTATATACCTATCCTATCTTATATATATATATATATATATATATATATATATATATATATATATATATATATATATATGTGTGTGTGTGTGTGTGTGTGTGTGTGTGTGTGTGTGTGTTTATTATTTATTCCTTCAAACGTTATTAGAAGTGGATACTGTATTTGATTTAGAGGCCCGGCTTTCATTCCTACTTTAAATAATGTGTATTATGTCTACTGGGGTTATACGCTCAATCATTGCCGTAGAGCTCATTTTACCCATTAAGATTTGTCGAATGCACAGGGCGATAGATGTCATAGACTCCGTTTAATGTAAACATAATAATAATAAAGAGTATAATAAAAAGTAAGAATATCCATAATAACTTCTCAATAAGAAAGTCGGATTAAAAATAAATCCATCACTTTGTATACATACGTACATGTATATATATATATATATATATATATATATATATGTGTGTGTGTGTGTGTGTGAGTGTGTGTATGTGCGTGTGTACGTATGTATAAAAAGTGATATATATATATGTATATATATATATATATATATATATATATATTAATTAAAGAATATCAAACACTTAAAATCCCAGGTAATAATTTTTATTTCATGGGAGCTTTAAAAATGCAGCTCTCAATCTTCAAGTCCTACAAACAAAACTTTTATTTTATAGCTATCATGAAATAAACATTATTACCTGGGCTTTTAAGTGTTTGATATTCTTTAATTAATAACAATTTTGCGCTGTCTTTTGAGATAGTGCTCTCTCTGGATCTATATCCTCCTTGAAATCCCCATACGAATTAACATATTGTATCATTAATATATATATATATGTTTGTATTAATTTCCATAAAGTAACATTCGCTTCTATTCTACGCCTTCGGATTTCTCACTTATCTATATCCTATTAATATACTAAACAAATAATTAAATTTCTGCATTTGCCTATTTTCGACATCCTTAATATGTAAGTCACTTCTCGAATTATTTATTTTTCTGACAAAAATACACTGTGTTCTTACTGCCGTTTGTACTTTATTTTACTATCTTATCTAAAAGTTTGTTTTTTTCAGTTTACTGGTGAATAAACCGGTTCCCCGGCATACTTCAAAGGAGAAGTGGATATTAGTTAGCAACTCCGTAGAAAAAATAAAAGAAAAACAAAGTTTCAAACGGTGGATTTAATCAAAGAATCAACAATCAGGTGTACTAGAGGTTATGTCTCGATAATGTCACCATGGAGAAATCAACTTGAGAACCTTACACTTTCATCGCAGTGAATAATGACATACTTAATATCATATCCTTTAAATACGGAGGCGATTATGGCACTGCGGAGATTCCTTTTTTTATTATCCCTGAATTGTCAGGATTTAACGGAATAGATACTGTACTATTTTATCCTTCTCTATAGTTTCAAATTCAGGACAGGTCTTTCTCCAAGGCTACCCGAGATTTTACTAACATACAGCAACTATCCTTGCCGTCTTTATTGTCCTACTGCCTTTAATATTCTTAATATTTAGAAAAACGTTCATTTCATAATGACCCAAGTAATTTGCATGTGAACCATTGACAAATATAATTATGACGAGGTTTGGTGAACATTGGGCAAACAAGGGGGTGGAGTTTAACATCTTCATTCAGTGGCAGCGAGAGTGGATGACAGCAGGCGAAAATATGCCGGGACTGGAAACCCGAGGAGCCTCAAGAAAATAACTTTTGGGGTTTAGGAAGACTTCTTTACGAAAGTATAAAACAAAATTACGAATTGGTATTTGATTGAAAAAAAAATATTAGGACTAAAACAAGTTTCAAATCGACTTAAAAGTGCATTTTTCGAACTTTCATTGAAGCAAAGTGCGCAATGAGTTCCTCAAAGTCTAATTCTCGCGCCAAATCACACTCGATCGCAATGGTTGTCAAGTTGGTAAGGCGGTCTTGAAGGATTGTTGTGAGTTGATAGTTCTTTTATTAGTTTTAAGTGATTAAAAGAGTGCTCTTTACGAAGTTTCGGTAATGTCAAGGTCGTATTACTAGAATGACATGCATAAATATATATCACAAAAAACACAAATAAAGACCGTAATAGAAAAATGATATTAAACATGTCGTAACCCTACTAAACAAAGACGCTTACAGACAGTCTTGTAAGACACGCTAGATCGAGTTTGTTTGTCCCAGCATCTCCTTTTCTTGACCGGGCGGACTCAAAATAATCTGAGTCTCGGACCTAGGAAATTATCTCCCCGGTACTATCTTCATGCTGCATTAAGAATTACTATTAGCCAACAAAAACTGTTTACTCGAAAGGAAATGAAACTAGAAAGAATGATCCCCCCACAAGTATAACAGCCGAATTTTCATGGTTAAAATGTCCATGCTTTGAATATTCCTGCCACATATGGTCTACTATTCCTTCTATATTTTTAGAGAACCTTGACAAAATCCAAAGAAGAATCAGCAATATTATTGTTCAGGTCTTTTCATCACGGCTTCAATCCCTTTCCAACCGCCGTAATTTAGCTAAAGTATCTATGAATATTGTCATCACCATTTTTCTAATGAACTTTCCGCTATGGTATGTAGATTCTATGAATTTAAACGCAATACCAGTTTGGTGGCAAAATCAAATCATCAATTTACAGTTGAAATAGATAGATCTAACCGTAAGTTCTGTGTTAACAGTTTCTTCTCTCGCACTTCTTGCTTGTGATGCTTTCTCCCGTTTTCTTGCGTTCAAACCAACTTTGAACTCAAAAATGTAAATGCAGTGTCAGTCATTTTCTTCTGTTTAATTAATTCCAGTTCTTTTATTGTTCTCGCTCCTTAATAATAATTTTTTCTTTTTCGTATATTCTTTGACAACCAGTACCCCCTCTTTAAGTCTTAGTGGCTTTATTCCCTTGTTTGGTATCAAATTAGAAAAAAAAATAAAAAGTCTTATCGACTCAACCAGAGACGACCAGGATCCTCCATTAGAACTGGTGACTACTATACATAGCAATGTATAAGTAATGACTACATTTTGTCTAAGTAACTCTAGTGACATAAAAATCTTTTCCCAATCTCAATGGAATTGTGGAAGAATGATGTAACTGTTTTTAGAGGTCCGTTTAGTCTGGAAAACAGCGAATCAATCAAAACATAAAAAAATTTCGATCACGTTGATTTTATTGATATTACATTGAGAAATATAAGTTGTACATAAGAGGCTTTATCGAATGTTGGTATTTCAAAAAAGAAAAAAAAACCTGTATGTTTCTAAAAACAAAACAAAAAATAAAATGCAAAACTTGACCGAATAAAAAATCAAAAAAAATAAAATAAATAAAATTAATTCCGGGAAAAAAATGATAAATATTTTGTTTTTCTTCCAAAAGTTGATCGATGTACTGACTGCAATATTTTATTTATTTATTTATTTTGTTTGGCTTTTGTTGACATTAAACCGATCCAATGCAGAAGCCTCAACAAATGCACAATCGACAAGAAAACAGCAGAGGTCGGTTTTCTTACCTTGTAATTTTTTTCTATTCCCATGCTTCATGCAGTCGACCTTATTGTTCAATTTAATATGGCGCAATAACTGATTGCTCAGTGATCAGTAATTCGTAATAAAGAATTCCCTTTCTGAATGCTACAATATCCGAAGAAGAAACTTAACATACATGAAGAAGACTAGCTACTCTCTTTTCTACATTTAACTATGAAGAAGGAAACACAACGGATCTACCGAAAAGTTCTCATTAAAAAAGTGCTTTGCATATTTGAGTTCAGTAGTCTAAATAAATCTGGGATTAATAATGATTCTCCATATATATTTTAATTATTCTACAGGTTTCGTTGATACACCTTATTTGCTTTTCTTAACCATGTAAAATACCGGCCTTGTGTATATAAATATAGATTATGAAATAAAATGTCTACACTTGCTTTGAAAAAGTTCTCCAAAAAGAACGCGAAACGCGAATATATATGATATATATATATATATATATATATATATATATATATATATATGTGTGTGTGTGTGTGTATCATATATATATATATATATATATATATATGCTTCCAGTGATGATGAGATCTCTCACCTATGCACACACTCATAATAATATATACACATACACAGATCACACACGCTCACAAAGAACTAAAAGGTAACACACACACAGCTCATTTCCAGCAAGCATTGCTACTAACAAACAGGGATTTTCTTTCTCCTGATGAGGACCATGCTGGCCGAAACTATTCAACGAACCTAATAGAAATGATAAAACAAAAAAAATATTAATAGCTAACACAGTGTGTCTGAAAATTTTCTGTTCAAAACATATATATATATATTTTACATACATATATATATATATATATATATATATATATATATATATATATATATATATAGTGAGAGAGAGAGGTGTCGTTGAATAATTAAGAGAAGTTGTGTCTACTTATTTTCATTTTGGCTATCGAAATTACTCAATGAAACATATCTCAATGAAAACATTCTGCAAAAATATACGCAATACATATATGTATATATATATATATATATAAGTGTGTGTGTGTGTGTGTGTTTAAAATTTCAGTTATCATTAAAATATATATCTGTAAAATTACAAGAGATAATCAAGACACGTGCTTTGATAAAAATATGTATATAAGTAACGAAAATCTTCGTAGTCCGTAAGCATAATCTCAAGGAGAATGAAATCGGGAGAGCTCAATGTTAATCAGAGCGAATAATTTAATTTAAAGATAAAACAGAGCACTATTAGGTATAATTTATTTCACCAGAGATTTTATTTTTCTCTGGATCTTCAGACTTCACTTTCAAATGAATTCATTTTTTCGCCTTTGGAAGTGAAATCTGAAAATCCAGAGAAACAGAAGAACTTTGGTGAAATAAATTGTAACTAATGTAACCTTAACGTGGTTTGTTTTTCTTTAAATTATATATATATATATATATATATATATATATATTCGAAATTATAATATAATCCTGTTATAAAATCACTACAAAATAGCCATTTTGTTTCAACACTCCTGGTGTCTTATCAATTGATGGTGAATATATATATATATATATATATATATATATATATATATATATATATATATATATATATATATATATATATATATTGTAAACGCAAAAAACCCAGTATCTTTGAGATACGGCACAAAGGCATTAGATTTTAATTCCTCACTATACCTAAAGATCGAAAGTGTTAAGTTTACAGATCTATTCTCAAATAACAGATTTTTGATTGTCACGGAATCTTTTAACTGTTAGCCTCTTCATAATTCTTCCGCTGTTCTCTGTTTTATTTTATATTTTTTACATTTGTCTTCCTCGAAAAGACTTAGTAGGAAACATTTTATTTCCTCTTCTATTATCCCGACTGCACATTCAAACGGCCGCCTCATTCTTGTCGCTTTTATTCATGACATAACAATTCCTTTGAAGTCACCTAGTGCCCGTTCCTTTTAGTTAAAAGACGTAAGTAGATTTAACAGTTGGAAATTAACTCACTAATACTCCCTGCTCCGTTGTTGTGGCGGTGGGCATAAACGGGTTATCACTAAAATTACGAGTGTAATGGTTAACGGCCTGAAACAAGAAATTTGCGAACCAAATTTATTAAATTCACTCTCGCTTACCCTTTGGAAAGGTATGAAGTCATCTCTTCTCCTCACCACACAAATACGACTGATAGGTTAAATTTCAGCTTAAACCGAGTTTTGTTTGTTTGTTTGTTTTTTTTTTTTGTTTAGCCGTGGTTGGCAACCAGTCTACGCATAGGACAATTGTAATTTTAGACCACTTGAAGCTGTACAAAGTTGGTTAGATATGGGATGCAGATTCCAAATCAAAACAAAAACACGATAGCCGTCAACGTCTATGGATGATCCCACTAGCGGGCGATTATCTAAAATTTTGTTGGCATAATCGCCAGTTATTCAGTTGCGTTTGCACAATGGCAGTTTCTTTAAGATTGCAATATTTTTTAAATGGACCTATTTTGAGTCGGAACAAACACAGAAAACATTTTCGCAGCCGAGACCGAAGATATTGGTATATTGACGGCTATAAGGAATTTATCAATGTTCTTGTTTTATTTTAGCCTTTTGTTTCTTGTAATAAATCATTTTATTATCGACAGTGGAGGCGGTCGAAAATGATTATTGTGTTCGAAATTCATTTTTTCTGTGTTAAGAGAGTGGGAGAGAGAAATAAATGTTTAAATTCCGATTGATGTCAGTTTTGTCAAATAATGTATAATTCTGATTTTTTTTCTAATGATTGTAAACTACCGATTACAGTTGATTGATTGTAGAAGCAATAAAACTTTAATATCTTTCTATCTATCTATCTATCTATCTATATATATATATATATATATATATATATATATATATATATATATATATATGTGTGTGTGTGTGTGTATATATATATATATATATATATAATCGAATGTTAGTCAGATTTAAGTCTAACCAGGGAACAATTGTGTAAAATGTGTGCTATACACAAGTTAAAAGATGAACGTGCAGCGCTTTGAATATTAAATTGTAAAAGATTAAAAATCACTTACTTATAGAGTGAGTTAAGAGAAAGAATATATATATATATATATATATATATATAGAGAGAGAGAGAGAATATATATATAGAGAGAAAGAATATATATATATATATATATATATATATATATATATAGAGAGAGAGAGAGAGAGAGAGAGTGGGAGAATATATATAAATATGCATATACAGAGAATATATATATATATATCGAGAGGGAGAATATATAGAGAGGATATATATATATATATATATATATATATATATATATATATATATATATATATATATATATATATATATATATAGAGAGAGAGAGAGAATATAGAGAGAGAAAGAGAAAATCATATACATATCGTGAGAGAGGGAGAATATACATATATATATATATATAGAGAGAGGGATAATAGATAGATAGATAGATAGATAGATAGATAGATAGATAGATAGATAGAGTAAATTAGAGAGAGGAAGTGATGGTGTTTTATGGAGGTACTGGTATTGTGATGGATAGAGGCTTGGAATTATAAATCGGCGAACTGATTTCGAATTCCATATGATTTCGTTACATTCACTCTGAGGAAATACACCTGGGAATGTTACGAATCCATCTCTTCTCCAGCTAGGGGTTAAACAGTAGGGCAGATGATTTTTTGGACTTACTTAGAATACTGTTTTTTTTTTTGTTGCTTTTTGTTGCTGATACTAAAGATTCTAATCTTTATACTTCATCTTAATCTGCTGATAAAACAAGTTAATATAGGAAGATATATTTTGCTCTAGACATTTCACCAAACAGTGATCACCGGTTCGCTCCTCGAAATATTTTTTCTGTACTGTTTCTAGTCTCAAAGTTTGTCTATGCGTCTTCTTTCGCAATATTTTCGCCCCTCGTTGAATCCACAAACGTAATACGATTGTCGTTTACTCGTGAGTTATAGCATATCTTCCCAAAACACGTCTCCCCTGAGGATTCGCGTAAACATTCAGTTAGGTCTTTAATTTAAGTCAGATTTTTTTTCAGTTTATATTCCAGCTTTAAGATCATTATTTTCTGGATACTGCATTTTTTGATTTATTTGAATTCAAGAACGAAAGAAATAACTTATCATTTTTGTTAAAATTAATAAACAACGTATTTATTTTTGTAAATATATGTGAAAAATTTCTTTTATTTTGAGTTGCACATTTCCCGAATAATAATAATAATAATAATAATAATCTCTTTATTGATATGGTTGTGCCTGCAGACTGCAATGCATCTTTGAAGATCTTCAAAAAGCTGTCAAAATACAAGGACCTTGAAATGGAAATCTCAAAAATGTGGCACATGAGAACATCAACAATCCCTGTTGTATTTGGAGCCCTCGGATTGATTGGAAATGATTCCGATAGACTCACTGAAGGGATTCCTTGAAGCCCATGCCTTAAAGATATACAAAAAAAAATTGTTCTCACGAGTACAGCCCACACCTCACGAAGGGCTTTATCTATGTAAAATATGTGCGTTTTTTTTTGTTTTTGTTTGTTTTTGTCTTGTTTCTTTGGGGTTTTTTTTCTTAGTGGAAAATGTCATGACGCAATTTCTGAGCTTAGGTCTCTGGTCAGTACACGGAAAGAAATGACTACACACCAGAAATCAAGGAAATAATAATAATAATAATAATAATAATAATAATAATAATAATAAGAAGAAGAAGAAGAAGAAGAAGCAGAAGAATTACCGTTGTTTCTAATAATAGAAATATTAAGCAAAATATTTTACTATTGTTGTTAGCAATAGCAATAGGAAAAAATAGGAAGAGGAGGCCTAGCCCCCTGGACGTGATGACTATCTATGATATGGATATGCTATGGAACCCACGAACAGCCCACACGTATTGGTAAATACGAACTAACTATGATGCTGACACAACGAAAAATATTGCTAAACCGCATCGATTGTCACGCAGGCCAACAAGTACCGCAATCCCCAGTGAGGAACCAGACTGTGATCGAAAAGTCTGCAACTGGAACAAATTCAACCCAACGAAAAGGAAAAACACGCCGGAGATATTCCTCACGGAGGACGTCTATATTCATTAAAAGAAAACCCCATAAAAAGAACAATACATATAAGGTCCAGAGAAGAGTATATTGAAGCAATGATAGCCTTTTACAAAGCTACGATAAATTCGACTACAATAACAACCAAAGACGTCAATAATATCTGGCGAAAAAAAATACCTCGTAAACAGACTAAACATCGATGCCAACAAACTAGACAATGTCGGGCGTGACATCATCAGGGAAAAAAAACCTGACATAGAACTAAAAAAAACCCGTGAAAACATCAAAAATAGATTAAACAGTAATGGGTTAAATGCCAACAACACAGAGGAGATACATGCAGAGGAACAAATAGAAACCAGCCGTAATAATCCCTATGAGGTACACAAGCGAATAGAGTAAGATAATGACGAAAATGAGAGAAAAAGAGATGAGAAAAACATTCGACATAAATGGGAGACTGTAGAAGAAATTTCTTTCGAGGAAAAGCCGACAATTCCAAAAGTAAGAAAGAACCGTCAAGTAACGGAAACCATCAACCTTGTTAACCAAGCAATTAAAAAAAATAAGGGATAAAATAGAAAGGCTGATGAACTTGAAAGAAATTATCCGTGTGATTTTTTTCTTTCAAAACTGTTCAGTGGAAAATGTGCTGATGGTATTTCTGACCTTTGGTCTCTTCGGAAAGAAAGGAGTATACACCACTAATCGATGAAATAATAATAATAATAATAATAATACACTCTACAATACATTTCCCATGTAAGATTAAAAGATTTTCGCAGTTTTAAATCATTTCTAAAACAAAACAAAAATGTGTCAGCGGTGATGTTTCCAGCAAATGAAAATCTCCTAATCGGGAGTTATTTTATGCTTCTTGTCTTCTGTGGCGAAAATCATCAATCGTTCATTTTACCGGAAATATACGACGTTTCTCAGGCTCAGAGTCCAAATTTCTTCTACCAAATCGAGATGTGCGTGTGTGTGTGTGTGGGGGGGAAGAACATAATAAAATTAGGCAATTTAAAAGGGGCCACGACCGAACTATTTGTGAAGACCTGTGTTAGCGTGTCACAATACAACTGGCCAGATACGTTTCTTTCGTTGGGGTTGTCTGTAAATGCATTTTTTTCTTGTCTTGTTCTTTTCCATGTCCGTGAATAAAATATACGTTAATACACTATTTTTTACAAAGGTCTATATAGTAAATATTAAAAGTAAATAAATTTGTTCACAGATTTTCTTGATGCCAATGCAGCTTTGTGTAGTTATAGGAGGTTGATTTGCTCGCGTTCTTATCCCCCAAGAACGGACATTTATATTCGGACATTTTTTGACAAGTCACATTCAAACGTTCCAGTGTTTCGCTCTCAGCAATGATATTTGACTTGTCGTTGGTCACAATATAAAAAAGAAAACTGGGGACCCTTCTTTTATGATGGAGGGCATTATTAACTGAAAGATGGCGAAAAGTTCATGGAAACTCAGAGAAAAGTGTTCCATGACTGAATAATGAATATGAATAAAGAGATATGCCAAAAAGCGCGAAGCCAATTTTGAATCGACGTAAACACCTCCATATATAAATATACGAGGTCTGATACAAAAATAGTGGGACTGGGGCTATAAAAGGAAAAATAAAACACATATCAATTGGATATTTAATCTCTTTAAAAGTATTCCCTTTTGATGCAAGACACTTTATCCAGCGTTGTCTCCATTGATGGAAGCATTCCTGGAAACCCTGCCTTTTTTCTTTTGGTCATAGCGAAAAGCTTCCGTTTGGATCTCGTCAGCGTTTTGAAATGCTGTTCTTTTCAAATGGGGTTTGATTTTTTGAAGAGGAAACTTCGCAAGAAGTGAGATCTGGGGAATATGGTGATTGTCAGACCTGGGAATAATATGGTTGGGCAAAAACTGCAGCACAATCCATGGTCACTGATGGAATCTTTGTGGTAGTGAGAGTGGACCACACAAGGACTGCTATGAACAACGGAAATGAGCCACAAGGGCATAACTTATAAGGGTGTATGCGAGAGAGAATTCGAGGTCAAATCAATCTGTACCAAGTGATTTCGCTCTGCATACTTTAGCTGCGTTAACATAGCATGATTTCTAAAACTTTTTATCAGACCTCTTATATATATATATATATATATATATATATATATATATATATATATATATATATGTAATCGGGTGTACCAGCAAAATTGTCCAAATCGGGTAACAGCATAACCATACATTCCACAAAATGTTTAATATCTAAAAAGCCAGTAAACATTGATTTGCTTCTTTCAGGGTTTTCAAATAAGACGTTTAACCTTCTTGCTACCATATGTTGTAAGGATCACTTAAAAACCATTTGAGTTATTCAGCTAGAAAGAGAGCCGAATAAAATAGTTTTGTTTCTTCCCAAGGGAGCAATGGTGTGAGTGAAAGATCATTAAGGTCTTCAGTAATGGTTCCAAAATTCACACCCGGGCTTCCATCATGTGGATAAGTTTGAAATAGAGGTAACGGTAGAGAGGTAAAATGGATCAGGAGTTCACAAGTGCAAGAGGGATCATCATTTCAACTTAGAGCTAAAGAGATCAATTAGAAAAGATCAAATCCAATTCGTAAGACGTTTGGCATGTGCGAGGGAGTTTCAACTATGACAGTCCAAATTTTATTTATTTAATTACAATTTAAAAGAAGTTTAGGTTAGAATTCATTTTATTTAACAACAATTTTACTTACATCTTTAAAATATTTTCATTGTTAGTTTTAATAGCCCATATTTCTTTTAATAGAAGTAAATGTATTAGAATTACTTACAGTAAGTAAAATTATTTTTCCATATCAAGTATATGTATATTACGATTTTTAAAATTTTATATTTAAATATTATTTAAGTAAAATTTCTAACCTAAAGTCCTCCCTATTCGTACTACACGAACTTAAAAGAATCCAATAAAACACCCACAGTAAAATGAAATTAATATGAAATGCTAGAAGATGTAAGCTTTTGAATGACCCATGTCCTTTGTACTTACATGAGAAACAATATATCACTAGGTTTATATAAAAAAAAAAAAATTTACTAAATCAATGAAAGTAAGTAGCTATTTTTGCTGTGATGGTCATAAATTTTACTTAAATAATAATTAAAAAAAATTGTAATCTAATAACATACATACTTATAATTGAAGTGAAAATAATTCTACATACTGTAAGGGATTCTAATACATTTAATTGTTCTTAAAACAAATATAGTATATTAAAAATTAAAAATTAAAAAATTTCAAATCGTAGTTGAATAAAGCGTATTCTAACCTAAACACCCACCAAAAATCTTTAAATATAAAAAAATAGGAAAAAAGTGCCGTAAGAATTTTTGCCGTTAACAATACATTTTTTTAAAAATAATCCAGACGACATGCATTTAACGGATGTTAGATTTCATTGAAAAATACATCCCTACCCCCTCCGAACCGTAACAAATAACTGATACATCAAAACATAGACATAATGAACGCGCAGACACCCCTAATCTAGTGAAAGTGGTTTTATCTGTAACCTTGGAAACGTGAATTATGATTTTAGCTGCGTCTTTAAAACCCAGTAATTTTAAAAGTTACTCCAAAATTCGCTTGAGGATGAAATGGAACTAATGTCTTTACTTTAATTACAAAATTAAATACTGAGCTTTTAGCTTCCATTTTTGAAACAGGGTTAGAACTGTGTAGCGGAAAAAAACAAATTTTAAATCAATTAATTTATAATATTAATGCTCTATAAATTTACATTGAGCACTATTTTGTAAAAATAAAGATATCTATAAGAACACCGGATTATATATCTTACTGTTCTTTTCTTTATATATATATATATATATATATATATATATATGAATGAATATGAACTAACTTTCAGTCTTTCATGATCTTCCTCAGATTAATTAATGATAAATATGTCATTTTCGTGCAGGATCAAGATTCTTCTGTTAATTTTGGACAGTAATTATGCATTACTGTTGCTCAAAACCTCGGAAAATTCTAGTAAGACATCTTTAATCATTCCCATGATAAAACATTTAAAAGTTTAATCTAACAAATAGACATATTTGCTGTTACACCTGGTATATGTATATATATATATATATATATATATATATATATATATATATATATATATATATTAAAACATAGTGTATTCAGGTATTGCTTTATTATTTGGAATGAACAGGAGTTGTCTGTTAGCCTTTTGATATTTCTGATGGCATTGAATATATAGCGAAGAAGTTATTTGATATTGAATAGGTACTAGGCGAAATTATGCGTAATGTAATGAATACTTTTGACTATAATTGGTTGTCTTAAAGGAAAGAAACGAGAAGTCAAAAAGTACCAAGCCTAGCGTTGTTAACTGCCGGAAGATTGAAATAAATTTTACTTCACATGCCATGATCTTTGTTAAAATGTTGTTGATTAAAATGACCTTACTGTTCGAAAGCATTTTAAACACGTGTGCACTGATATTGAAATACATTTCTATAGAATGTAGGTAGCCGTCTTTTAATGTGAAGGGCTTCCAGATTTTTAATCATATTTTCGGGCTTCTTTAGTGATGTACTAGAGGTCGAAGTTTGATTGAGATTAGAATGGACACAGTGGATTTATGTTAAATGTTTATTTATGTATGACACGTTGCTGAGAAATGACAGGCCAATTTTCTCGAGAGAAATGTGTCAGAACCAATCTACATTGATGATTTCTCAAATGTCGACTATGCAACATTACTCCTTTTTTTCTGGAGAAAGCATTGTATCATTTGTTTTACACGGGGTTGGGATTTAAATTTCTTTTTATAATATCGAATGTGAAAAGTATTCAAAACATTGCACACTCTTTCAAATTTATTTTCAAGTTTCTACTTGTAATATTAAACAGGAAGAGAACATTATAAAGTGGGATTTTTTTATGTAAGTCTTCAGTTAATTGCTACATAACAAACTTCAAACTTCAGAAAAAAAAATCTGGATGGCAGAGACCAAAATAGGGTGATAGAGACAGAGAATAAGAAATGGCTGGGTTCGTGAGACGTAAGTGTAGTTTATTATGAGCTGCTCAAACCGACCGAAACCACGGGAGATCGGTATCGACTACGATTGATGCAGTTGAGCCGAGTACTGAAGAAAATGCGGCCGCTATACAAGCAGAGACAACATGACAAAGCTAGGCCACATGTTGCAAAACGGGAAGTCCAACTCTACCCGCCGTATTCATCAGACATTGCCCCGTTCGATTATCATTTCTTTCGATCGATGGCACATGGCCACGCTGAGCAGCAGTTTCATTCTTATGAAGAAGCTGAAAAAAAATGGGTCGACTCGTGGTTAGCCTCAAAAAACGTGTTGTTTTTCCGACGTGGAATTCAAATGCTGCCAAGAACGGAAAATGTTGTGGCTAGTGGTGAATAATAATTTAGTGACATATTTCTTACTAAGTTTTGTAAATAAAATCATTACTTTTCATGAAAAAACAACGATAACATATTCAAGGTCCTAATATATATATATATATATATATATATATATATATATATATATATATATATAAATATATATAAAATTTATTCGGAAATTATAATTTTCGAATAAATTATATTTGTTTCTACACTGTATTGATCACCTTTTAAGAATCGTATTTTTGGTTATTGGAATTTATTTCGTATACACCAATTCTATACCCTATATATATATATATATATATATATATATATATATATATATATATATATATATATATATATATATGGTGGCCTGACGATTGTGTCTAGCATGAAACAGCCTGTCGCCTCTAAGTGTTGACTTCAATGTTCATTTTATGTTTATATATATATATATATATATATATATATATATATATATATATATATATATATATATATATATATAATATATATATATATATATATATATATATATATATATATATATATATATATATGATATATATATAGGTATGATATACATATCTATATATCTATGTATGATATATATATATATATCATAGAGATAGAGAAGAGGGAATCGTTGGGTGCATTGGTCATAACTGATGCAATACACGCAGTAATAATCCCCACGCGCGTTTAATGTAAGTGTCATCGAGACTGAAGGCTGAAACAACTAATTTCAACACGATTCTGTTTACTTTACTAATCTCACATTAACGTCCCTGGCAGAAATGCATTAATCCATGTTTCTCTAGTTATGGATTAAATCGTAAGATATATTTCTCTCTCCTCCTTTATATATATATATATATATATATATATATATATATA